ATGTTACATACAGCAAACACATGGTATTCAGGGAGCCATGTTTATTTGTCAAGTCTTACCAAGGCAGGCCTGGTTGAATATGTGGCAAGCCATATATTAGTTAATTCAAAATTAGGTTACATCAACCGTTTACCTCTGTGGGAGTATGTTGCAAAACTTATAACTTGTCTTACGATGAATTTCCCCCTTGAAGCAACAACCACTTAGATGTACATGCAGTCATTCATCACTAAAGAATTTTTCAAATTCTATATTCTGACTCACCATGGACTGACAAGGTGTGTCCTTCCCACATTTCATTTTTGTACTGTAATGAAACCTCTGTTCAAGCTTGTGCAGATTCTTTTCCCTCTACAACAAGGTCAATCATGGCAACTACCTCCACAAGTTCATTTGCAAGCACTTCTCCCCCTTTTTTTCCAACCAACAACAACAACTATATATATTATATCCAGACAAAAGTATTTTTGAAAAGCGGTTTTTCGCGTATAAAATGGTACACAATAGTTAACATACATGGCGCCCTAACTGTGCCACGTTAAGTGGCGCCATTTCTCAGCATTACTCCCATGTACGAAGAAGTTAGAGATCGCAGGAGAGGTAGGTTTTCAAATTGTCTTACATTAAAGAAATGAAAGACGTGCACAATGAAAAGATGAACACAATGACTATGTACATAAAGAGGCTTAGAATTGCATGTTATGGGCAATCTGCGGTACACGCAGGAGGGGTTAGTGCTGTATCTCAGCATTTGTTCTAGGACCTAGGCAACCGCACAACAATTTACAGCACCAATGTGGGAGCTGCAGGGGTTATGGAGCTGGTGGGAGTGATGATTATACATACCATTGTACGAGAGGGGCCTGGCCTCCCCATTTTCGTCTACAATTATCTGTAAAGGGGGTCTCCAAGAGGCGGTAAAAACGATGACCAGAGAAGAGGGCAATTTGCACATACTAGATGTAATCACGAAGGTAAGAAAAGGATGTATAATTTCATATGGAAAACTTAGAAGCATTTACCTTGTACTTTTTAACAGAGGCTGCTCCTTTGTGGTCATTATCAGTTGATGCAGTAAAACAATTACAATTTATTTTGCCACTGACCAGTCACAAAACGCGCTCTCTGGGAATACAAGTACATTATTGTAAAAACTCTTGAAAGCTGCCAGTTTCTGAGTTATGGATAAACTTGGACCCTAAACTATATGTTGGCCAAAGGGTCCATAAAATATCTTTTGCCTCCATATTTTTGGAAATGAGATCACACTATTCATTATTCTGGTGACATTGATGTTGGATAGTGTCTTTCCTTCAGTGAACAAAATTGTGAAACATTTGTATAGTCGCAGCCTTTACGCGCTATAGTTTTTTAACACACAAACTTTATTCTAGAACTTCTACAACTGGTGCAGGGAAACAAGTGAACCGATGTGAAGTATAACGAAGTATAGCGAAGTATAGTGGTACTGAAAAATAATTAAACAAATACAAAGTCAAGATAAAACAACCTACAAACTGAACGAAAGCAATAAGGCAATCTAGAAATGCGAATGAAACAAACGAGATACTTACAAGACTATAGCGAGATAAGGACAAAAAACTAGTATGAGCAAAAACCCAAACATTAAACTGTAAACCGGACCAAGCACAGCTAAACGAAGAACTGACGCAAAAAATTACCATAAAAGCTAGATATACGATATGCAGAAAAATCCTAACACAAAGGACAAAGCTACGCGGACAATGAAAAACTAATGAACCAAACAACAGCACTGAAGGCGCGAACACGAAAATAACTAAGAACGCGGCGAACATAAAAATACCATAAACGTAACGGAAAACATTCCTGGCACTTTCATTCCAGCCCCTAAATACAAATCGCTTGTATTTACCTAATATTATAGAAAAAGGAGCCAGGAACTAGCACAAAAAATTAACTATCGAAAAAAATAATCTTCTTTAATGCCAAACTCCTTAAGCGAAAAATAGTGTCACAAAGGCTCAAGTGCCTCAACAGGCTTCATTGTTCAAACTTGATACAACGTCACGTAAGCTCAGTGAAAGTCACGCAAATTCTCTTGAACAAATCCGAGAAAACAAGACACTTTCAATGTTCAATTGATTCCAGCAAATATAACTTCGTAATGGGTCGCTCCAAAGTAGAGGTTTTGACTCTTACGTGACACACGAAACCATCTCTATCTGGGAACACTTCTGTGATTCGACCAATCGGCCACACGTTCCTGGGCGTCGATTCATCAACGATAACCGTGTCTCCAACGGTGAAGTTTGTTCTCGGTCGAAACCATTTCTGGCGCTCCTGCAACGAAGGAAGATATTCTCGTTTCCAGCAACCCCAGAACACATTTGCCAAATACTGCACTTGACGCCATCTTCTCCTGGAATAAGTGTCGTTCTTTTCAAACAGCCCTGGTGGTAGAGATTCGTTTTGGCGAAGTAGTAGGGGGAGATTCGGCGTAAGAGGCTCCAAATCGTTAGGATCGTCGGAGACCTTGGTCAGCGGCCTTCCATTAATGATACTCTCAGCTTCACACAATAAGGTTTGAAGACACTCGTCGTCAAGGACTTGCTCCTTGGTCAAGGCTCCAAGAATCTTGTGAGTGGATCTGATAAGTTTTTCCCAGACTCCACCGTGGTGGGAAGCCGCTGGAGGATTGAAGGCCCATTTGATACCTTTCTGTAGAAGGGTGTCGTGAATCTTGGCCTGATTCCAACTTGAGATCATAACGCAAAGTTCCTTTTCAGCTCCCGTGAAATTCGTACCATTGTCTGAATGAATCTCTTTAACCTGACCTCTGCAGGCAATAAATCTTCTAAGAGCTAAGATAAAGGAATCCGTGTCCCATGTGTGGGAAATCTCCAGATGGACTGCTCTCAAAGCCAAACATGTGAAAATAGCTCCAGATCTCTTTACCAAGCTTCTCTTCTGGCGGACAAGGAAAGGACCAAAGTGATCAATTCCAACACATGTAAAAGGGGGTTGATCTGGAGTGACCCTGGAACGAGGTAGGTCAACCATTTTCTGTTCTCCAGCGGGGCCATGGCGACGTTTACACTTGAAACAGGACGACAGTACGCTTCTTGCCGTTGTGTTGGCTCGAATCAACCAAAATCGCTCACGCAAGAGGGCTAGCACGTATTCTCTCCCAGAGTGACCACTTTCCTCTTGAAAGAACCTGATAAGCAGTACACCAAGTGGAGAATCCTTGGAGATAATTATCTGATGCCTTGATTCGTCAGGTAAAGGAGCTCTGCTAAGTCGTCCGCCAACGCGAAGTACACCACCAGTTAGGACTGGGCTTAATTTTGCAAGGCAGCTTGACTTCTTTACACAGCCTCCTTTCTTGATGGTTTCAATTTCCTCAGGAAATGCATTCCTCTGGTCAAACATAATTAGTTTTCTTTCTGCAAAGTCTAAGTCTTGACAAGACATTGGCTCCAGGTTGAGGGGACCAACATTTCTGTGACCATTCGGGCCAGGCTCTCTCTTTCTTAATCGAAATCTTCTCTGGCAGCGAAGACACATTGCAATAAATTTCAGTAACTTCATCCAGGAGCTAAAACGCTTCACGATACGAGCAATGCTTGCATAAACTTTGCTGACGGATACAGTGAATGATTTTGGCTCTTTCTTGATTTCCAGATCATTCTCGGTCAGCTCTGCGCTTTCTTGGACATGGTCCGCCCACTCAGACTCGGTTGTTAAAAGAAAAACCGGCCCCTTGAACCAACGGCCATTACGAACAAACACGTCTGCCGTAACGCCCCGCGAGGCTTCACCAGAGGGATTGGATTTGCTGTCGGTGTATCTCCATTGGGACGGGCTGGATTCCTCTCTGATGAAGGCAACACGGTTTGCAACGTAGGTATGGAAACGCTTCGACTCATTCGCGATGTATCGTATGACAGTCATGCTATCTGTCCAAAAGGTCACTTTATCGATGGGTATCTGCAACTCATTCGTCAAAATCTTGTTCAGCTGCACCAATACGGTAGCAGCCGTCAATTCCAATCTGGGGATGGTAGTTACCTTCAAGGGAGCCAGGCGGGACTTGCCAATGAGGAATGAACAGAATATCCGACCTTGCATGTCGACTAAGTGAAGATATGATACAGCGCGATAGGCCACCTGAGAGGCGTCGCAGAAATGATGGATCTGACATGAAGTGGTATCCAAGGACTTGACAGGTTTGACGCACCTTCCAATGGCAATTCGGGAAATCTTCGGTAGGTCGTCTACCCACGCTTGCCAGTGGGTCAAGTGAAGATCTGGGACCTCGTCGTCCCACCCCAAACCCCATCTGCACAAATCCTGTAGGAGAAGCTTTGCAGGAAGAATGAAAGGAGCTGTCATACCCAGAGGATCATTTAACGAACTGACTGCTGAAAGTATGCCACGCCTAGTACACGGCCTATCTTTAATGAACACCTTAAAGCCAAACTGGTCAGCCTCCACGAACCATGACACACCCAAGGCCCTCTCTACTGGGAGAACATCGCAGGTTAGGTCAAGCTCTTTAGTTCCTTTCGCTTTATCTTTGACAGGTATGGACTCTAATACCAGGCGATTGTTGCTGACCCATTTCGTCAAGTTAAAGCCTCCTTTATTCATCAGGTTGCGCAGATCACAAACGTGGTTAATTGCTTCATGACTGGAAAGTAGAGATTTCAAGGAGTCGTCGACATAGAAATTCTTCAGAACAGTAGAAACGACTTCAGGCGGAAACTCGTGCTGGTGATCTTCAGCATTTCAACACATTAACACAACTAGGCGACGAAACTGCACCGAAAAGATGCATGGTCATTCGGTACTCTTCCAAACCCTTAGCGACATTACCACTGGGCCACCAGAGAACTTGAACTTGAACTTGAACTTTAATAATAAGAAAAATTACAATCTACTTTAATCTATATAAACATGATCTAAAAATTTAAATAGTAAAAATAGAGAAAATAAAGAAATTCTGCTTTACATAGATGCCGTGTGTGTTTTATCGATTCAGTCAAAGAAATCGCGACAACCATTTCGAAAAGATTTAAGTGATTTTGCTTGCCGCAATTCAGGGGACAAGCTGTTCAGATAACCGCACCATTATAGCTAAAGCTATTTTTCAAGAAATTGGTGCGGGGCAACGGAACAGCTAGTTTGTTTTCAGAGTTCCTTAAATTATAAGGTGGATTATATTTCATGAAAAGAGAACCAAGATAGTCGGGCGCAAGACCATGGATAGATTTATAGACCATGGTGGCCACTTGTATTTGTCGCTGAGTATCCAACTGTTTCCAGTTGTGTTGCTAAAGAAGAGGATCAGCGCTTGTGTCATAACTGGAGAAGGTTAGAATACGGGCAGCCCGGTTTTGCAACTTTTGGAGCTTATTCGAAAGACTTTTGTTACAATGCCCCCAGACCTCACTGCAGTAATTAAAGTACAGTTGAACTAAGGCATTGAAAATGGACTCCAGCGTGGTTCAATTAACAAAAGGCCTGCAACGTTTAATTGCTCCAATGCCCGATGCGATTTTCTTGGCTATTTTTTCAACGTGCACATTCCATGAAAGGTTTTCGTCTATATGCACACCCAGAGATTTAACCGAGCTAGCTTGTTTAATTATGTCACCACCTATGATTAGTTTAGGGGAAGTATGGTAAGTACCTAACCTTTGCCGCGATCCAATTAACATGAACTCAGTTTTAGATGAATTGAGAGTCAATTTGTTTGCAGTGAGCCATGTATTAACATTGGATGGGTCGTGATTCATAACATCATTGATCGTTTCTATGTTGTTACTGGCAAAGGTCAGGTGAGTATCGTTGGCATACATACGTGCAACTGAATTAGACAGGCAATTAGGAAGATCATTTATGTATAAAATAAAAAGCAAAGGACCTAGAATTGTTCCTTGCGGAATGCCACAAGCGAGAATTTGACTATTTGAGAGCGAACCATTTGCGAAACACCGTTGATTGCAATTATCTAGGTATGACCTAAACCATTCATAAGCGTTACCGCGGATACCATGTTCGAATAATTTAGACAGAAGAATTGTATGGTCAACGGTATCGAAAGCTTTTTTTAGGTCGAGGAAAACTACTGCATTTACACTGCCTTTATCAATGTTGAAGGCCCAATCGTTAGTGGCCTCTAACAAGGCAGTAACAGTTGAGTGGAGCGAACGAAAACCAGATTGTTGGCTGGAAATAAAATTGTTTTCAGTAAGATAACCGTAAACCTGGTCGTAGATGATACGCTCAAACACCTTAGCTACTATAGGGACGATAGAAATTGGGCGATAATTGTTTAAGTCGGAGTGATTTCCCTCTTTGAAAAGTGGAATAACTTTTGCGCATTTCCATTCCTGAGGGAAAATACCTGATCTGATGGACTGATTAAAAATAGAACACATAGGATCAGCAATCAGATCGGCGCATTCCCTAAGAAGTCGCGCAGATATCATATCTAGGCCTGTGGCTTTCGATTTACAAAGCTTAGACAAAAGCGAGAACACTCCAGAAGGATCAGTACATTTTAACTCAAAACGTTTGTCAGTTCCCTCAAGGTAATGTAGGTGTGATGGACCATTATTAGAATAAATCTGGCTAGCAAGCTTGGGTCCAATAGAAGAAAAGTGATCGTTGAAGGCATCGGCCAGCTCAGGAGGGCCGTAAATAGAGTTACCGTTGCTTTTGATTTCTTTTATGTGACAATTATTAGTTTTCCTTGAAGTGAGCTCATTTACAATCTTCCAGGTCTGGCGCGAATTGCCTTCGTTTTCATCTAATGCCCTTTTATAATAGAGCTCTTTTGCTTTTTTAATTTCGTTATTAACTAGGTTGCGACATTTTTTAAATTGTAGCCAGTCATTAGCATCCTTAGAACGCGATGCTTTCAATTTAAGAATATCTCTGTCATGCATTCGTTTCTTTAAGTAAGGTGTGATCCAAGGTGACTTTGAGGCGCGAGCCCGTTTTACATGAAGTGGGGCATGCTTGTTTACGCATTCCAGGAATAGTTGTTTCCATGCAGCCCACATTAAATTAGGATCAGAATAATTTTCGATGTTACTCCAATCCTGTTGACATATATCGTTGCGACAGTGATCAGAGTTAAAATTCTTAAATTTCCTATATCTCAGGGTAGTATGCTTACACGTTGTCGATTCTATAGAAACTTTACGAAAGGCGTAAACTAAACTGTGGTCGCTGATGCCTATATGTGAGACCCCTGAACAGACGACCCTATCTGGAGTATTTGTAAAAATTAGATCAATTAGAGTAGATGATTTGTCAGTAATTCTAGTATATTCGGTTATTAACTGATCAAGGCTGTAAACTTCAGCAATATTAGATAAGATATTTGTACTGTTGTCAAACTTAGGCGCGGCCATATTACAATTCAGATCTCCTAAGACGTAATATTCGATATTTTCAGAGTCTAGTTTTCCTAAATGGTTTAAAAAGATCAATAGAAGAATCAGGGGGTCTATACCAGGTCATAACGGCAAAAGGCCTTGATCTGGGTTTCTTGATTTCGACAGTCAGACTTTCTAAGTGTTCACATATTAGGTCAGAGCGAACAGAATAATTGATTTCGGAACGAATAAAAAAACAAACACCCCCTCCAGACCTACCATTGGTAGAGCGATCGCTACGAATAGATTCATAGCCAGAAATATGAATTTCATTATCGCTTATTGTGTCATCCAATTTAGATTCGTTTATAGCTAAGATATCGATAGGTCTGTCGGAAAGCAAAATTCTTAGTTCGTCAATGTGTGCAGATAGACTATTAATATTTAGCGAGGCTAATTTAAAGCCTCGTTTAGACAGGAGAAGTTCATGAGAGAAACCGCAGAAAGTCACGATTCTCCACAGGAACACGCACTTGGTGAAACATAGATTGAACATCTCCCATTACAGCCGCTGGGTCTCGTCGGAAACGAAGCAGTATTCCAACTAGGTTGTTGGTCAAATCAGGACCCTGCAGCAATTCGCTATTCAAAGACATCCCTTGGAACTGAGCGGAACAATCAAAGCCGACCCTTATCTTCTCAGGTTTCTTGCCGTGATACACACCATGGTGTGGAATATACCAGACCTTTCCATCAGCTCTACACAGATCTTCAGAGGGAACCTTTTCAGCGAAACCTTCTTGGATTACGCTTTCAAGAGATGCAACGAAGTCTTCCTGAAATCTGGCATCCTTAAGGAATTTACGTCTCAGGGAGAGGGCTCTGCGCTCGGCTTGGCATCTATTAGCAGGCAACGTCAAACTTGGATTACGAAAGGGCAAACGAACTTGGTAATGGCAATCCTCACACTGCATAACAGAGTCTTCCACAATGTCCATGAACTTCAGATCTTCACGAGACATTCCTGTGCCGTCATTTAAACACGCATCCGCAAAGTCAGCACATGCCACGCACATAGGATGGACGTCAAGAGACTTGGTGAGGTAACAAGCAGAAGAGACATATCTTGGCTTTCTTCCTGTTGGGCCATTGATTACCCAACCGAACGCCACCTTACTAGCGTAGGGGCCTCCTCCGACAGCTGGAATAACTTCTTTCGGTTGTAAAGCTTCTGGGACATCTGACCCAATTAATAGATCAACTTGAGAGTTTAGCTCAGTTAGGTAGACGAAGCCTCTAAGGTGTGGCCATCTATCTACATCTTCCTGTTTGGGGACTTCATCCTTAGACACAGGCATAATAGGTCTGGAATAAACCTCTCTTAATGGGACAACTAAACCGCTGGCCACGACGCTATCAACCTCCTCTGCCGTACCCATCGTAGTTAACTTCAACTTCAAATGCTTGCCTTTAACGCCAAGACGATCCAGAAGCATGTTAGAGCAGAAAGTGGAATTGGAACCCGTATCCAGGAGGGCATAAGTCTCAATGCAAAAAGGACTTCCTTGTGCTCTGACCTTTACTGGTACGATTGGCAAAGCAGTCGCAGGACCCACTGTGGTCGTCAAATTGCAGACTCGCTCTACGCCACTTGACTCATCACTTAATAAACTCTTCTGATTAACACCTTGCTGGGATCTGTTCTGATCTTCATTCTCTCTGGCTCTAGCAGGTTGTTGACTCGCATTCTCAGATGTCCGCTGCTCGTGCTTATCTTCTGAAGAGTCAGAGTGCATAGGCGAAGCATGTCTTCCGTTACAGTGTGAACATGGCTTCTTCTTGTAGCATCCCCTTGATTGATGACTCCCTCTCAAACACGAGAAACAGAGTCTTTGCTTCATCACAAAGTCGTAACACTCACAGACCGGAATTTTAGCAAACGCTGGACAGTCTATGAGATTATGGATCTGACGGCAAAACAAACAACTCCTTTTCCAGAGATCTTCAGACTTCTTCTCCTGAGACTTGTTTTGATTCATGGGACTCTCCTGAGATGAAGTGGAGAAGTTACTAAGCTCTCTAGGACCAGGCCCAGAACCCTCGGGTTTTGATTTCGTCCCTCGTGTCTGGCTCTTCCTCTTATCCTTAGCCAAGAAGGGAAGTTTTCCGAAGATTGGATTACTCAGGGCACGTGACTTCTCCTCAACGAATGACGCAATGTCTTCGATACAGACTTCTCTCTTGTCCGCATTGAGGATACGATCAGCATTGTCCCGCCAGCTACTCTGCAGTTTAGGTAGCAGTCTCTCGATAATCTTTCTCATGTTGTCCGGACCTTCAATCTTGTTTAAGTATCCGATAGCTTTCAGTGTATTTTTGCAACTTGACAGAAGAATTGAGAAACCCTCCAGTGACTCGGCATCCTCAGCTTTGATGTAGGGACCATTAGTTAGCTGGTCGACATAAGCCATCACGATATTGTGCTTTTGGCCAAATCTAGCCTCCAACAGCTTCTTCGCCTTAGAGTAGCCTTCTCCTGGGTTTAGGTACATACAACTCCGCACGATCTCCCGTGCTCTTCCACTCGTATGCTGCTCAAGATAGTACAGTCTCCCACCACTATCACTCTCGTTACTCTCGATTACAGTCTCAAAGGCACGCATAAAGGTGCAGTAGCTGAGTGGATTCCCGTCAAAGATAGGCACCTGTCTTCGGGGTAGCGTGTTTTTCTGCTGCTGATTGACAAACTCCTCCATGACACAATTCTGCTGTTTGAGGATGTGAAAGGCTTGGTCACTAAGGCCAGACTGCTCATCAGAGTCTGAACTGGACTGACTTGGAACCTTGTGTTTAGTCTTGTGTTCTTTAGGTCTGAAATTGGCACCATGGAAGACCGGAGATGATTCCTGCTTTAAATCTCCAGAAAAACCATCAGAAATGGCCGCCGCGCGCGGATCCACGCGAGGAAGACGCGACACGTGTGTTCCTTTCTGAATCAGCTTCGCATACGCGCTTTCCCTGGCCACTGCTTTCTTAATTTCCGTTTCAAGTTTTAATTGATCCCTTTTAAACTTGAGATCAAGTTCTTCCTTTTTGAGCCGTAATTCAGATTCGTTAATGAGCTGACGCTGCTTTAGGGCGTGTACTTCAGCTTGAAGCTCTGCAATTCTCGCAGCTTCTTTTGCCCTTGCAACAGAAATGGAACTAGCTCGAGAAGATCGGCTGTACGCCGAACCACATCCAGATCGTTTCCTGTTCCTTAACAGGAACGATGTCTGTGAAACACTGTCATCGCGAGTAACATCAAGGTCTTGAATCCGGATCTTCGTTACACGCAACCAGTCGTTAACCATTTGAGAGAACAAATTCAAACTCGACTCAATGTCAGTGAAGTAAACTACTGATTCCTGTCTTTGGCTCTCATCGATTAGGGCAGCAGTATACTCCTCGTATGCATCTGTAAATCTTTGAAAAAGGGAAGTAATCTCTGTCAGTTTCACCTTGACTGCTTCGAGATTGTTCTCATCCGTTAATAAGCTGTCAATTTCTTTACGCTTGGCCGTCAAAGCAGAGAGCACTCCGCCTCTTCTCTTTCTAAGTTCTCAGATTCTTTCCATTGTAACTGCTTCTTGATCCAGTGAAGAATTAGGCTTCTGCGAATGGGCACTTGAACGACAAACACTTTGACCATTTTTCCCGGCGGAACACAACAAATTGGCTTCCTGAATCACATCAGACATCGTCCAAAGTCCAACAACTCTCATCTTTACGAATATAGTCGCAGCCTTTAAGCGCTATAGTTTTTTAACACACAAACTTTATTCTAGAACTTCTACAACTGGTGCAGGGAAACAAGTGAACCGATGTGAAGTATAATGAAGTATAGCGAAGTATAGCGGTACTGAAAAATAACAATTAAACAAATACAAAGTCAAGATAAAACAACCTACAAACTGAACGAAAGCAATAAGGCAATCTAGAAATGCGAATGAAACAAACGAGATACTTACAAGACGATAGCGAGATAAGGACGAAAAACTAGGACGAGCAAAAACCCAATCATTAAACTGTAAACCGGACCAAGCGCAGGTAAACGAAGAACTGACGCAAAAAATTACAATAAAAGCTAAATATACGTTTAAACAACATGGGTCTAACCGAAAATTTAATCATTCATTGGCAAGTGCAAAGTTGTACTGGAATAGCCCAGAAAAGGTCTCTGAACATTAGACTTGGATGCAATTGAGTGTCCACCCTAATCTTAAACACTCATTGCTTCTGGTAACATCACATCTAACACAGTAAAAGAGTGCCTAGTATTTCCAGTTCAGCTGAGTGGTGGAGAAAGCAGCGAAAAGGAGAATTTTGAGGACTATCTGGTAACAGCCATCAGTAAGAACCAAAGGACCTGTTAATTTTTGCTACAGGAGCACCTTGTGTCCAGATTTAGGTTTGGGAAAGATCAATGTTGAGTTCTCTGATCACTCATCAATTTCTTCCTCTACATGCCATAAAAAGACCAGCTATCGTACTAAATGCCCAGACAATGCTATATTTCTGGCTGTTATTCATGCTCTTTATGACAATGCGGGGAGGGCATTTACAAGCACATAAGATTTAAACAGATAATCTTTTCAACATGCAAACGTGCTTGGGTGCGGAAAACGTGTTTAATTTTTTTGAGGTACAGATGTTTCAACAAAGGTCTCTGATAAAATTTTCGACAGTTTTATCTGAAATTTATTTGAGTGCAAATATTAGACAGGAAAACAAATTAGTGATCAGTGCACTTTCATATACGCAGCTTTTCTATTCTTGTAATGCTGCAATACTATAGGTAACAAGGGTAGCTATTGTGTCCAGTCTCTAAGACAGCAGCCCTCACAGGGTTGTGCGCGGGGCATTCAATAAATTAGCGACCTTTAGCAATGAAGACGAGAACGAGGACGAGGACTGGTATGACCGAGTGGGGCCTGGAACGAGAACATCGTCCACGGCGGTATTTCGGCCGGAAACAAAAACATTTAGCAAACCGGTTACGGTACGTGGACGAGTCTCTTCCTACAGTGAAAGTCACCAGGGAAAATGTGTTTCAAAGAATTTCGTGACCTCCTTGTACTTCTCTAC